AAGGCATTTTTTCCCATTTAGCAAAAATTCTTGCAAGGTTCCTTGCACTTGCCATCCCTGCAAGTCTTTGTCTCCATAGGAATTCGTTGTCATCTTTATTCATGAAAGCATAGTCTAAAAAGTTTTAAAATAAGATTTTTGATTTTATATATAAAATCACCTAAACTTTTTATAATTTTTTGAAAAGTAATCAAAAAAATTTCTAAATACATATAAATCTAAAAACATTATATAGTTATAAGAAAAAATCCTCAACCACAATTCCAAACACACCCTCAACTAATCTTTAGGTCCATGGTGGCACTTCTTAATTTCGTGTAGAAACTTTGAATTAAAGGAAATTAATCTCAATAATTAATTATGTTAGAAACTCAAGATAAAAGAAAATGAATAATAAGGGTTGAATTTATTAGTAAACAATTGTTGTCTTATAAAGTTAAATATTTAAGTCTTAAAGTTAACATTTAATAAAATTAATTTCTTTAAATGTACTAGAAAATGTGTATTAGTTTTAAAATGCATAAAAATTAATGTAGATACATCTTAATTCTAAATATTTAAAAAAAATGAAAGGAATTAGGGAAATGAGGGGAGAGGAATCAATATTTGTCAACTGTGCAAATATTCAAGTTTTTGAATGTAATGTCCGCGTAGACTTGAAAATTTCAAATTTTACGATTTTTATTTATTTATTATTACTTTGGGTTGAAATTTGTTTCAAACTTACGAGGCTATTCGGCCCAACTTGAGGAAATACGAACCTTACCATTTCTCTACTCTAAAGGGCCCATTGAATTTAGATGGAGGTTTTTCATTCAAAAAAAAAAAAAAAAAAAAAGACACTTTCATTCAAATTATTTAATAATAAAGTTTTAATATTTTTAATAATGAAGTTATTTTCTGGCCATTCATAATAGTTTGCTTAGTATTCTTATTAAAAAAAATTATTTATAAACCTAAAACATTGAGACCTCATAACTTTTAAAATTATAGGTTTCATTCTCGTATATAATGAGTTTTTGTAAAATTTATTTTTGATTTTTATGTGTTTAAATTGGAATATATGTGCTATATACAATCTGAATATATTATAGTTATACTTTACTCTCTATAAGAAAATTATTTATAAATCTCATAATAATAGTTAATTTTGCTTTTAATTTTTAATAATTGATGCTTTTTTTTTTTTTAAAAAAAGTGAATATTATAGATTCAAGAAATTATAAAATTTAAAACATGTTAATAATTATTTCTAAAATATTAAAAATGAAATTAAAAAATTTAAATATTATTAATAAAATTTTAAAAAAATTTATTAAAAATATTTAAATAAATAACAAAAAAATTTTGTTTAAATAATTTCACAGACAATTTTAACAAATCCTCACTTTTTTTTCCAAATTTAATTTGGCAGAATTTTTTTTACTAAAAGAAAAGGATGAAGTAAAATTCGCAATTCATTTGCCCGCCCATATGATAAAATCAAAACCCCTTTCGGAAATCTCTCTTAAAAACCTTTACTTTCTCTCTCCAAAATTTCCACCTTTCTCTCTCTCTACAAATGGAAGAAGAAGATCAACGCAAGCTCACAGATCTAGTCGTCGAACTGGTTCGTCGCCTACTCTCTCAAAACCCACTAAACCCCCAAACCCCTTACTCCGATCCCGACCTTCGTTCGCCCCATTTCCAGCAATCTCTCAGCTATGCAGTCCGCATTCTCTCCAGCCGCCTCACGCCCTCAATTGCCCCTGATGCTGCTGCCATCGCTGAGTCCATCAAGCGGCGTCTCGCCACTGAAGGTAAGTCTGCAGATGCCCTCACTTTTGCCGATCTTTATGCCAAGTTTGCATCGAAAACGGGTCCGGGTAGTGTGAATAATAAGTGGGCAGTGCTTTATTTGCTTAAGATTATATCCGAGGATAGAAAGAGTGCGAGAAATGGACTTGATTCTTCGGTTTTCTTGCCCAATTTGGCGTTAAATGGCGTTGAGGGGGAGAATAGTTCGAGGGTTTTGCGTGGGAGAGAGAGTAGAGAAAAGGGTTGGAGTAATGGAGTTTTGTTGGTGGCCAAGGACCCGGAGAATTTGCGTGATATTGCGTTCAAGGAGCTGGTGAATGTGGTGAAAGAGGAGAATGAGGTATCTGAGGAGGTTTTGGTGCGGGATGTGTTGTATGCTTGTCAAGGGATTGATGGGAAGCATGTGAAATTTGATAGTGATGTGGATGGGTACGTTTTGTCAGATTCAATTAAGGTGCCTAAAGCTACCCGAATTATGGTGAGGAAGCTTTGTGAATTGGGGTGGTTGTTTAGGAAGGTAAAAGGATATATTTCAGAGAGTATGGATCAGTTTCCAGCCGAGGATGTAGGGACTGTTGGTCAGGCATTTTGTGCGGCACTGCAAGATGAGTTATCAGAGTATTATAAATTGTTAGCTGTGCTTGAAGCTCAGGCCATGAATCCAATTCCATTGGTTTCAGAAAATGCAAGTTCAGGTAACTATTTGTCCTTGAGAAGGTTGTCAGTCTGGTTTGCAGAGCCAATGGTGAAAATGCGGTTAATGGCTGTTTTGGTTGATAAATGTAGGGTTTTGAGGGGTGGGGCAATGGCTGGTGCTATTCATTTGCATGCCCAGCATGGTGACCCTCTTGTACATGACTTTATGAGACGGTTGCTCAGGCGGGTATGCTCTCCACTTTTTGAAATGGTGAGGAGCTGGGTTTTGGAAGGGGAGTTGGAAGATATTTTTGCTGAATTTTTTATTGTGGGACAACCTGTGAAGGCTGAATCCCTTTGGAGAGAAGGTTACAGGCTCCATGCAGGAATGCTTCCTTCTTTTATCTCACAGTCTCTTGCACAGCGTATTCTGAGGACTGGCAAGTCAATTAATTTTCTTCGTGTTTGTTGTGATGACCGAGGCTGGGCAGATACTGCAACAGAGGCTGCAGCTGCAGCTGGAACTACAACTAGAAGAGGGGGCCTGGGATATGGAGAAACTGATGCTCTTGAGTCTCTGGTTGTCGAAGCAGCTAAGAGAATTGATAAGCATTTATTGGATGTCATGTATAAGAGGTATAGGTTTAAAGAACACTGTCTTGCAATCAAGCGCTACTTGCTTCTAGGGCAAGGTGATTTTGTGCAGTATCTAATGGATGTTGTTGGGCCAGAACTTTCTGAGCCTGCTAATACTATTAGCTCATTCAAACTAGCAGGGTTATTAGAAAGTGCAATTCGGTCATCTAATGCTCAGTATGATGATCCTGACATATTAGATCGCTTGAGGGTGAAGATGATGCCACATGGCTCTGGAGATCGGGGATGGGATGTTTTCTCATTGGAATATGATGCAAGGGTTCCATTAGATACAGTTTTCACTGAGTCAGTTATGACGAGGTATTTGAGGATTTTTAATTTTCTATGGAAGCTGAGACGGGTAGAGCATGCACTAATTGGTGCTTGGAAGACAATGAAACCCAATTGCATCACTTCTCATTCATTCAATAAGCTGCAACACGCTGTAAAATTGCAGTTGCTTTCAACACTAAGGCGATGCCAGGTTCTTTGGGATGAAATGAATCATTTTGTTTCAAATTTGCAATATTATATCATGTTTGAAGTATTGGAGGTGTCCTGGTCAGATTTTTCTAGTGAAATGGAAGTAGCCAAAGATCTTGATGATTTACTTGCAGCACATGAGAAGTACCTCCATTCAATTGTGGAAAAGTCTCTCCTTGGTGAGAGATCACAAAACCTTTACAAGTCACTCTTTGTTCTATTTGACCTCATCTTGCGATTTAGGAGTCATGCAGATCGGTTATATGAAGGAATTCATGAGTTGCAAGCAAGGTATATACCATATCACTCTTTTTTCTTTTTTCTTTTTCTTTTTTTTTTTTTTTCATATTTATATAGCTTAAGCCAGTTGTTTTGCTTAATAGATGTGTTTGCTGACACTTGTGTTTCATCTTATGAAGAACCGTTGATTCCTCTTTACCTTCCCGTGACAAGAACAAATCAAGGAAGCAAACAAATGATAGGTCTTCAGAGCCTGGGACTTGGCTTAGTGATGGTAGGAAGGCCCTAACACAACGTGCTGGTGAGTTCCTTCGAAATATGCAACAGGATCTGGATGCAATATCTAAGGAGTATACATCATTGCTTGAGGGTTTCTTAGCTCAGCTACCAGTCCAGCAACACATTGATTTAAAATTCCTGCTCTTCCGGCTTGACTTCACTGAATTTTATAGGCAGTTACATCCTACAAAATAGAAGAGCTGTCAATGCATTTGGATTCAAGGAACTGTTTGTTCAGAGTGCTTCAATTCACTAACTGCTTGCTGCCCTGGTGCTGTCGGGTTAAACAATCACATGGTGCCTGGCAGGCAGCCATCTGCACTGACCATTTTGTATTCCTTTACTTGATCTTAGGTAAAATTAAAGACTTAATTCCCTTTTGTTTTGCATTTTGTTTATTCCTTCCTTGCTTTCTCTTTCCTATTTACCTTTTCTCCGGTATCTGAAGCTACATTTTTCCTTTCAGATGGTGTGCTCTCTAATGGCTTAAATGAAGGCTTACACGTGGGTATGAGGTATTTTTGTACAAGTGTGTTTGGGTGTTTGACGTGATAATGTATGCTTGTTGAATCTAATAGTCCAATAATTCATTGGTATTCGAGCTGTCTCCTGAGCTTGTGATTATGTATCAAGTTTTCTCCTTTTTTTTTTTTTTTTTTTTTTAAAATATCAACAATTCATGCTACAAGTGTTGATTTTGATTCAGGTTTACTTCTTTTGGCCTCACTTGATCATTGGCAGCATGTTATACCAGAATGTGGCACTCTTGTCACTGCTATAGGAAGTATGATGATACTCATAACTCTTTTCTGAAACAATATATATGATCTTACACGTAATATTCTTTCCTTTTCTAGTAATCAACAAGAGGTTCTTTGATTACTTGCACATAATTAAGTTCAATTAGCACTACTGCATTAGAAAATTAGGATCCAATATTCATTGTACTGTGACAGTTTCTTCTGATGATTGTTGCTTCTAATTAATTTCTGTTAGACCCTAATCATTTCTTAGTTTCTTGTTCTGTCCTCTTTTCTAGTTTATTGCCTGAGCACATTGCATGGTAGAATTGAGTTCAGCTTACAGTTAACATGTATACTTGTTTGCAGATCCTCTTTTTCATATAATTTTCATTCTGGTGTATTTTGCTTTATTTCTGGATCTAGAATGGAGAAATTTAAGAGATTCATAAAAATACTATGTCGTTAATTTAAAAGAATCGTTCCCTTACAACACTTTTCACACACTCCTTGTCATTGCCCGTCAGACATGGAAGGTTCAGGTTCCCTAATGCGCCTGGACAAACCAGTGAAGGGTTTGAAGTTTGGGGTAGCAGCCAGGCTTCTTCCACCTGCAGTGGCAGTTTGTTGCCTATTTGCAGAGGCAGTTTGTTGCCTATTTGCAGAGGCAGTTTGTTGCCGATTAGCTACGGAGCATGCATAAGCTGAGGTTCCACTCAAGATCCTCGATGAACCCATGAATGGACTGAATTCCCCTTGCTTAGGATCAGGGAGCTTTTCTAGCTCTTCCTGCCGCATTGTGGAAGGCTCCTCATCCAACCCTTCAAACTTGGGGTACTGATTCCACTCCTCTTGCTTCCAAGCTCCACCACCCAACCGATTCGACTTACCAGTGAAGGGTATGAAGTTCGGCTTCTCCATCTCTTCCACCCCATGTGTGGAAGATTCCCGTACCTTCTTCATAGCATGTTTTTCAGGCTCCTTATAGTCCAGAGGAGGAGCAAAATCAACCTCACAATCTGTATCAATGATGCATATAGCATGTTCGGGCTCTGTTTCCACCACATTAATATAAAAAAAACTCTTCGTTCCATGAGTGGTCATAATGGTATCCCCAGCTGTCAAGCAGCAGAAGTTTTGAAGATTGTGTTCCAGGACAGCTTTCGGGTTCTTGATCTCCAAGAAATCCATGGTGTGCGGCTGCAGCTTGATCTTTGTGCCCTTCACTAGGGACGTACTCCTTAACCTAACAGAGTCTCCTTCTCCCAGTTGTAAGTTCTTCATCATCCACTCCGGTATGTAGATAGCTTCTGTATCCATTCCTGTGAACTCCAATACGCCGCAATGCGAAATCCGGCTCCTTGACATGTTCTGTATCTCGAACATCATTGGCATGGTGATGCGGGTTTCCATGAGATCCATGAGCGCCTCCGGAGGCATAATGATTTTGTTTCCAGTTTCCATGCCAGATTTCTCCACAAAAGAGAGTGGATAACAATGGTACACACGTTCAAAAAAATCATACTTCTGTTCTTGATCATAATAACGATCAGGGCTGCTGTTACCGCTCCATTCTTCTCGATGGTCGGAATCAAATGATCCTTCCTGTTCCGGGATGACTTCTCCGCCGTGTTGATGGTCAGTACCACCATTGATTTCGGCTTCCTCCTCACCAGGAGGCATTGCCTTCACCTCCTCCTCCGAAAAGGAAACATGGGTCTCGTTGTTGATATGTTCTTGATCATTATTACGATCAAGGGCGCCACTATGATTTTCTTGATTGCTCCATTCTTTCTGATTGTCGGTAAGAAAACCTTCTGCGCCGCTTTGAGCTTTCTCCTCATCGCCTCCTGTGTATTTGGGAGGCATCACCACCACCTCCTCCTCCTCCTCCTCGGGGTAATAACCATCAAGGCTATCATAATCACTCATATCGCAGTCACTGGAAACAAACCCTTCACCGTTTTCATCTTCCTCCTTGTCATCTGGGTGTTTCGGAGACACCGGCTCCTTCTCCACCTCCTCCATGGATTCCATATTAACCACTGAGAAAATTGAATACTAATATCTTCTACAAGTAACCCTAGGGATTTACGTATGAAGTACTAGAGAAAAGTTTTAGTATATATAGGGGTGCAATCAGAGTTTAGGTAAGGTTAGGTATAGAATTGTCTTTCTTTGTTTTCGAATAGGAATTTAGGATTCCGTTTATAATTGGTTTGAATAATTTAAATAAGATTTCCGTTTAACTTACGCTTTATCGAAGAATTTAAAATTATAATTATTAATTAATTTTTAAAATAACACTTATTTATTTTACTTTCTAATTTTAATAAATTCTCATTAAAAAACATTAAAATACCATATTTTTTAAATAATTTATTTTTGGAGTTTTATTAAAATAATAAGTTTTAGGTTTTTTTTTAAATAATGTAATTTTAGGTAATTTTTCACACCATTTTTAAGAGATAAAAAAAATAATTTGATAAACACTTATTCTTTAATTTTTTTATGAGATAGTAAAATACGAAAAAGAAAAAATTTATAATTACCATTACAACGAGTGAAAAAAAGTTTGAAAAAAAGGATAACATTCTCTGTTATATTATTAATATAATAACTTAAAAACTTTCTTGTTAAAAGGCATTCAATAGAATTTCACCAAGTGGT